TCAGTAGATCAGAAAGTGTGCATTTTGTGACTGTTCATGTATATATTTCTGTCATTTCTTAGAAATGTGATCTCATTCATTCAACAACCATTTTTAAATAACAAAGACATGCTTCTGGGGAAGCAGACATGCAGTTGTTTCTGTACCAGTCATGGCATTCTATGTGGCATGTTCTCAGTGGAAACTACTTCATAATCTTTACAGGATGTGAAGATTTATTTATTCTAATATTTCCTGGTGATGAAAATCACAGGGGGCTGAGCATGTAGCTCACGCTGTAGCACACTCGCCTGGCATGCGTGGTGCACTGGGTTCGATCCTCAGCACCACATAAAAATAAAATAAAAATGTTGTGTCTGCCAAAAACTAAAAAAAAAAATAAAATAAAAATAAAGAAATATTAAAAATTCTCTCTCTCTCTCTCTTTAAAAAAGAAAAGAAAAGAAAATAATAGGAACATGCCTTGAACTTCTGGGGCCCTTTATTAAAAAAAGTAATACCCACCTATTCAATTAAAAATAGCATAAAAATATATTTTTCACCCCTATTCTCACCTTAATTGCATTGTCAAGCATATAAATCTTATAAAAAATGTGGCAAAGAGCGTGAGAGAAGTTTCAGAGTTTTGAAGGTAGGAAGCAGAGGGAAGGGTAATGGTTGATTTTGGAGAATGTAGTGCAGACACCTACATGCCTGCAGAGGGAGGAAACAGAAAGAACTACAACAATCTTCCCTGCAGAACACTGGCAAGCTTTAGAATTTGGAAGATCCATATATCACAAAGAAGGGGATGAAACATAGAAGAGAGTAGGAAAGAAGTAAAATGGTGGCATCCGCAGATTCATTACCTCATTTGACCACCACATCCCTAGCAGCCAGGCTCATATTCAGAAGACAGACTATAACCAGAAATATCCATTCAAGCATACGTCTAGCAATAAAAGGTGCTTTCAATAATCTTTATGCTTTTCCCATGCAAACAGAGCCTCTAGTTAATTTCTATGTGATTCACTCTTAAATGTGAATGAAGAACTGAAAATCTGCAGAAATTTAAGGAAAGATTTGGGATTTAATACAGAGATTAAAACAAATAAAAAGTACAGTATAAAAGGTAAGTTCAGGAAACAAAACAAATACAAGTATCATCAGAGAGGAAAAATAATCTATTGCTTATATAAAACAAGAACAGTACATTTCAGAAAAGGGATCAGAATGAAACATCCCTTGGGCATAAAAACTAAACTAAATGCATAAGAAGAAGGGTTGAAAGATAAATGGGGGAAATCTTTGAGGAAGTACTTTCAACAGACAACAAATGAACACTAGAAAGTAAAAGAAAATTTAAAAAATATGCCAG